CGGGCCTCATGCGGCCCTCGGGCCGGACGTTCCCCACCGGGTCTAGCCCAGCATGTCAGCGGTGTTGAGGTTGGGAAGCCCCCTCGTCAGAAAGCCTGCTGCCGTCGAGGAACTCGTGCAGCCGCTGATGGCATGAATGTTGTGAAACGACGAAGAAGTAGCTCCTGCGCCGAGCTGGGTGGCCGTGGAGACGCCGCTCTCTCCACGTCTGCGTCTGAGCTTGTGAACACGCCGCTGTCCCTACACCTTGTGGTCTCACCCCCGCTTCTCTGGGGCTTCTCCGCGCCAACGTCCCGAGAGCAGCAGCACGTCGTCCGTGAGGGTGATTGGACGTACGGTCGTTCCTGGGGTTGTGCAGTGGACGCCGCGTCGCCAGCACCGTTACACCTGGCCTGCAGTTGGCACTGCTCCGACCGTGCTGCTCCAGCGAGGGGCCAGCCACCAACCTCGTGTGTTTCCCTCTTCACCTCCGATGATGCCATTGCATCTGTCGCTTTAACGTGGCTCCGTGTCGCCCAGAAAATGCTTGGAGATGGCGGGCCGCGCTCACGTGAACAGTTAAATGTCAACAGAAAACGCGTCAGTGTCTCTGTAAGTCACGGTGATGCCATTACCAGGAGGAAAAGTAGACGGGAAATTCTGTCCGCGCAAACACGATCAGCGCAACCCCCAAGGCCCTAGGAGGGGGCAGAGTGGGCGGGGCTGGGGGCAGATGGCTCAGAAATGCCGCGTCAGAGGGAGGGAGCAGAGTCCCATTTCCTAGCAAATCGGTGGCGTGAGATTAGCGGCAGCTCCCCTGGCTGTGGGCACCCGTTACTGAGCGTGTCCCTCGGCTCCCAGTACGTGCGGAAACACTCCCTCCTGCCTTCTAGAGAAGGTCCTATAACGGGACACACCTCACACACAGGCCCGTTTCCACATCTGCATCCTGTGTCCACCAGCTAAGGGCCATGCACACACAGGACCTAGGATTTCTCCAGCCAGGAAGTGTGTCGTTCGGTGAATAACAGAAACTTCTGGTGGCGCGATGGGGTCTGGTTGGTACTCTCGGATGATGTGGGTCTTCGGTGTCATTTTTAGACTCTTCCTCACTCTCGTGCTCCCAGCTCTGTGGCTGCTCACGTTTAATTCATTTAAAATGCGGCGTTATCTCTGCAATTGTGTGGGCTTGGGAACGTTAATGTATTACATCCCATCTCCTTCACCTGATTAAGGTGTGGAAAGGCTGCCCTTTGCGTTGTGACAATTCTTTAACGGGGGTCGGGGGAGGAGGGGGGCTAGCCCAGCATCCTGTCCCCGTGAGCTCGGGACACCTTTAAACCGTTCCACCCGCCGAGGAAGTGGGGCATGAAAGAGAAGGAGGATGGAAATGTAAAAATCTTGATTAGAAAGTATAATTTAATAGAACACGTATTGAACCAAACGTATTGATTCATGTGGGAGATATAGTACTTCCATTGATTCAACCCAGAGATTTAGTGCTAAGAGCTCTGAGCCCAAACGCCCGTGCTGATGGCTGCAGAGTCCGCGTGACGCGGCCTCGAGAATGTCTCCACAAAGGGATTCCTCGGCCTGGAGGGGCGGCTGCGGCCCTGTCCGTCCGTCCGCCATCCCGCCATCCCGAGAGCCTTCCTCATTCCCGCCCAGCAACTGTCCTTAGGGGCCGCGCTTTGTGTCGATATTCTCACATTTTAAGTCACGTACGGGCTGTGCTTCTGGGAATGGGAAGGAGCCGGCTGGACTGGTAATGGTCCGCGCTCATTAATACCGGCAGCCGCGCTGTCCTCCCCTGCCCACCGCGGGCGGCTCGGGCCTCGGGGACCCGCAGACACATTTGAAGAAGCTGCGTGGCCTGCGGGAGATGAAGCGCAGGACTCCAGCCGTTTCCTAAGTCGGCGCGATGCCCGGGCGCGGGTGACCTCATGGCAACCAAGATGCAGGTCAAAGACTGATGCCCCGGCCGGTGGCAAACCGTTGCTTTTGTTTGGGGGAAAGAAATCACATAGAAAGTAAAAAAGCAGACGAGCTTTCCGGATGGCGGGCGATGTGGAGCCCTGCTCGCAGCCGGAGCTGCGCCTGTAAGTGCCCTGGACAGTGCTTCAGAGCAAGGAGCGCGCACACACTGCCCGAGGTGTTCACAGATCAGGTCCAACCCCGAGATGGAGGGAAGGCCATCGAATCCGTTAATCAGTGATGATGGATGGCGAATGTTTGCGTTACTTCCTCGAAAGGAAAAACAACAGGCTGCCTGGCTGTCACCATCTGCTGGAGGCAGAGCCGTTCATCTCTGCGTCCCCTCCCCGCCCCCCCATCGCTGCAGAGCCACAATTGTCTGCCATTTCACCGGGTTGGAAAACATCTCATTTAAACTGAATGCAACTGCAGTTCAAACCGACATGCTAATGGCCTGGTGAATTACTGCAAAGCTTTTGTGGGGTGTTTTTTCTGTTCCTTTTTAAACCAGCCTGCTGGCTCTTTTCCTTCGTTTTTAAAAGCTTGTCAGAATGTGTTTGAGACAAAGAGCTATACATAGACAAGTCCTGGTAAAAAATGATTAACATCTCTGAATCAACAGATCTCACAGAACTCCCATTTAGATGCCGTTTTTATTAGCGTTATTGCCGTGGCTACTTAACATTTCGCCGATGCCAGGGGAGGGTTACCGAGCACAGACCAGACGTGGCCTCTGCCAAGGGATCGGACAGTCTGGCAGGACGCGGGAAGGTGGGGACTTCATTTTTCCATCCTGGAAGGCGGACCCCCCCTCCCCCGGGGCCACCCCCTCGCACCCCACCTGGGCTTCCCTCCAAAGCTTAGCTTCATCATGGCGATCGGGGCACAAATTCACATCAAGATGGAAGGGAAGTGGGGTCGCTTGGCCAAGGTGAACGGTTTCAGGGGATCATGGGGTTTTGCTTTTCTTTAAAAATATTTTGCTTGGATTGCCTTTTAAATAGGATTAAGCCGTTTGACCAGTAAATGTGGTCAGCTCTCCGAATGGTGGGGCTGAATTAATCATCGGTGAGCGTGCCAAGCCCGAAATGAGAATTCCAGGCCTGGAAAATGAAAGGCCGCTCATGTTAAAAACACAGCGCTGGAAGGGACTTCTGACGGCCCGTCTGTTTTTCAGCTTTCCGCGTTTCGCCTCACGTGTGAGGAGGGAGGAGAGGCGCACACTCCCTCCTTCCACAGGCCTGGCCGCTCAGGGCCGAGCGGGGACCTCGCCCTGTGGCCTCGCACCTCGACGGAGCTGCTTGTCAGCTGGACGGTGTGCTGTGGACTCGATTTCTTTTTTTAACACAAGCCCCCTCGTGTAAAACAACTGTTCGTCACTGGGATTAATGGTTAGCAGTTTTCGGTTCCTTAGAGGTGAGGTCTCCAAAGATGCCTTTTTGCAGAAACGATGGCTCCCTGCGGGTTGCAGGAGTTTTCTCCTCTTCTGCTTCCTCTCCTGTCATCGCCCCACCGCCACCCCCACCCCCGCCCGCTCGGATGTTCTCCTCGATTATGTAAAACACTTTTCCTTCATTGGAACAGATACTTTTTCTCATAACCTGTCATTGCATTAACGTGCTTTGGGGACTGAATTGCCGTGTAAAATGGTGAGATTACCCACACTTTGTTCTAGTGCACGATTTCCTGTGGACCTGAAGAACAGGCCCCTGGCAGGCTGCTGGCCGGTGGCCGGGCCGCCTATCCTCTCCTGCCATGCTGGCGCTGCGTGACTCGGACCAACCCCGCTCTGTGGCCTGGCCAGAGGGAGGGCGCCACACAGAGCCACCCTCTCTCCATGCTTCTCTGGCCTACTGTCCCCTCCCAGGGTCTGCGGTGAAGCTAGATACGGACCCTCTCCAACCAGAGCAGCCAGCCACTGACCGCAGGGCTGGACGCCCACGCCTGCCACCTTCCAAGGGTGAAGGGAGGCCACGTGTGTTTTCAGTGACATGGGGAGGGGGCACGTCCTCTTCAGAGTGCAGACACGCATGAGGACTGGGGTTCTTTTCTGTCAGTGCTCATTATGTGCCCATTTCCCAGGACCCTCTAGGACTGTGCCCCTTTCCACCGTGAGTGTCCCTGCCAGCGGACTCTAGACCCCTGCTCCGAGCGAGTGCACGGACGCCCCCCCGCCCCCGCCCCGCAGGCCAGTCGGGCGGTCCAGTGGCCTCTCATGATGTGGGAGGAAGTTCACCCGGAAAGGACCTGCTGTGCAAGGGGGAGGAGAGGACCACAGAGGCTGCGGCAGCTGGGGTGGGGCAGCGGCTATGGCTGCCTCCAGGTGCCCTGCCGCCTGCAGGGGGCGCTGGAGAACCCGCTGTCCTTCTGCCCCTGGCTGGCCTGGCAGCTTTTGCCTTTAAAGCAGCGGTTCTCAACCTTCTGGGCCTTTAAATACACTTCCTCATGTTGTGACCCAACCATAAACTTATTTTTGTTGCTACTTCATAATTGTCATGTTGCTACTGTTAGGAATCGTCATGTAACTATCTGATACGCAGGATGGTCTTAGGCGACCCCTGTGAAAGGGTCATTCGACCGCCAAAGGGGTTGCGACCCACAGGTGGAGAACCGCTGCTTTAAAGCTTCTATCCAGGGACAGACAGAGCCCTGGTATGGACACGCCCACCACCCAGGCGATTGGACGAGCATCGGTAATCTTTGGGGAGGTGTGCCGACAAGGGAAACTGTCCACGGGTGCTACCTGGGCTTTGAAAACGGGGGTGCTTCATTAGAGGAGATGCAGGAGGCGGGGTGTTCTGAGAAGGTGTGGTGGGGGACAGAGACGAGGAAAGATATGGGTCAGTCACTCGCCTCCCTGGTGGGCCCTGGTGCTGCCCTGCCCTCCCAGCAGGGGCGAGGGGTAGGAAGCAGGTGCTGTCAGGCCACGGGCAGCCGTCGACCTCGGTGTGAACACCTTTCCTGGCACCATGAATCCAGCAGCAGCGTGGACACGTGGCCTGATGGCAACGCAGCACTGACGATCCCCCCTCTCTCTTTCGTTCCAGAATCACACGATGACCCAGCACAGCAGTTAGTGGGAGCGCCGTCGGTGGAGACTTCCTTCTGAGGCACAAAAAGGGAACATGTTTCACTCTTTGCACGAACCCCTCCTTGTTCATGTATATTATTCGGAGCATTGTATTGTACCATGAACTTGTATTACCCAAACGCTGGATGTTCATGTGTGTGAGCCTGGGAGCACCGGATAGACCCTCTGTATATAAAGTGTTGCACATGTATGATGTCGTCGGAACTGACACGGTCTTACAGAGATGAGTTGACTTGGGCCCTGCTCAGGCAAGAAAGGAAAAGACCGAGCGGACGGCTTCAGAGGAAGTATTTCCAAGCAGGCCGAGGTCACACGCCTGCGTCCCGCAGGAGGCAGCGCTGGGACTTGCTGTCACGGACCTGCAGCCCAGGCTTTCTCTTTTTGGTAAGTCAGCGTTAAATCCGAGACTATTTTTTCACTGCGAAGACTCTGCGAGCCACGAAGAGACGTCTCACAGAGAGCCCGCCGCCGATACGGCCCGTCTATATATTTGTACGCCTTGCCATGTGACCGGTAGCATCACTATATATGCAATAGTTGTCATGTAGACTGTCAGCGAGTTTTTCCCGGAGACGTTTGAGGCTCTGAGTGTTCAAGGTTTCCCGTATGATTTCTCTCAGCCAAACGCCCGAATCGGTTGGACTAACCTGTATGTTACTGTTACTCATGTTTACTCCGCGCCCTGGACCTGGAGATGACTGGAATTGTTTTCCAAGAGGAAATAAATTCAGTTTACCGTTCGGTCTGAGTGCATGTGTGTGGTTTCTTGTTCTAGTGACTCTCCCATTGGGAAAACAGGGCATTGCCAGCGCCCTGGGAAATGGAATCTGCTCGGAGCATATCCGGGGCCTAAGCTCAGTCCTGTTTAACCTTTCACGTGGGCCCGTGCAGCCGGGAGGGCGTCCGTCCGTGGGGCAGAGCAGGGACGAGGCCCCAGGTGCGTCGGCCTCCCAGTGTGACTGCAACAGGTCACATTGTCCTGGCGGGCTCGCAGGGCGCGTGGATGCGGCGGCTGCTCTGCATGACGTGCAGCCGACAGGCCGTGCTGCGCAGACCCGAGCTCCGAGCAGAGGCTGCGGGGAGAGGCCGCTGGAGACGTGTGCGCAGGGAGCATCTGTGTTCCTTCAGAAGACAGCACAGAGTGGGGGCCGGGCTGTGTGTTCTCGCTCTGGTACCCACTCCCAGAGTTGCTTTATCCAGAACCTTCCACTGCCTGCCTCAGTTTCCCAGCCGGGGCTGGTGCCGCGGGGTCAGCAGCCTTCACCTGGGCCTGGGCGTCTGGAAGATGCTGGCACCAGCACCTGCCAAAACATGGTGAACGAGCCCTCGCCAGTGTGGCTCAGTGGATAGAGCATCGGCCGGCGGACTGAAGGATCCCAGGTTGGATTCCGGTCAAGGGCACGTATGTTGGTGGCGGGCTCAATCCCTGGCCCTGGTTGAGGCGTGTGGAAGGCAACTGATCGACGTATGGCTCTCATACCCATGTTTCTGTCTCTCCCTCTCCCTTCCAATCTCTCTAAAAATCCATGGAAACATTCCCTCCAATGAGGATTAACAACAAGTGGCGAATGGGTGGGAGCTCTCATTTCAAAGCATCCTTTTTCCTCCGAAAGATGAACATAGACATAGGTACAGGGAGTCCTGGTAGGCCTCTGGAGTCCAAGCTGGTAAGTAGGCACCTGGTGTGAATGGGCAGCTTCAGCGCCTCCCTCCCCCGTCCTCACCCCGTGCGGGCGACATTTCACTCACCGTGACTCCTCTGGCCTCTGAGACAGGGCCTCCAGCCGATCCGGACGCCGTAGACAAGCGAGAACCCTCACAGCAGGTCTTGATGGGAGAGTGAAGCTGGACCCATCCGCCCGGCTGGGACCACCTGGCACCGGGGACTGGGACCCAAGTCTCTGCATTTCTAGGACGTTCCAGGTGACACTGATGTTCCTTGTGATGCAGTTTTGTTACCAATAAAAATAAAAATAAAAAAGCCTGGTCACATTTTAAAATTATTCAGAAACAAGTTCCCCATAGTGACTAAGGTGCATGTTTGCTAGAACGTTCTGTGTGTGTGTGTGTGTGTGTGTGTGTGTGTGTAGTGTTTTAATGCTGGGAAGTCTGCATCTATACATTTCACAATGGATTGCCAGCGTGCTAGTTAATTAAAAAGCTTTTCACTGGCAACATGAATAATGAACTATGCCGAGAACAGGCAAGGACATTCATAATTAAAATACTCGGCTACGTTTTTAAAAAATTAAGGTCTCTGGTCTAGTCAAGGATTTTGCGTTTAAAACGACATGACCACACGTAACCGACTTTTTCACAAGCTTGCAAAGTTCTGGTTACAAAGGACCCGGTTGTACTTCACAGGAGCAGGCGATGGAGCCGCGTGGGGATGGAGGCCTCGGGGACCTCCCAGACCCCTGGTCCACGCGGAGCTGGAATCCTCAGGAAGCAAGAGAGGCCTGTGCTTACCGCCCCGGAGGCCTCCACACGGCACCCTCGGGCTCCAACACACAGGTCAGCATCCGCCCAGACCACGCCGGAGGCGAAGGGGTGCACCCTTATTCGCTCCCTGTGCCCCGTCCTTTCTAGAACAGCCGTTGCTGGGGCCATCCATGCGGAACAGTCCGCGGGACAGCCATTCCCTCCTTTTGCTCGTAACCTTGTTTATTTCCTACTTCATTCCCTAAGGACATAAGGGAACTTAAAGATGAACGAGCCGCCAGTGGGAAAATCCGCTCCCTGCAGAGGGGAGGAAAGATACCGAAGTCGTTGTCCTGTTTGGCGATTTTGGTTTTAATGCATTTCTTTTGCATTGACTTTGTGCTTCCTGGTAGTAAGGGGAGGAGGGGAGAGGAAGAAGGGGGGGAGGAGAAGACCACTTCCTTAGAATTCTTCTCCTAGCACTCAACTGCAGAAGAAGTGCGTCGGAGGCCTCACACAGGGCAGGGGCCAGTGCAGCAGCCGGCTCCTTGACCAGAGCGCTGTGACCTCCTGCTAGTCGGTCTGGGCCGTGGCTCAGGGGCTGCTGACGCCCCGCCATGCACAGCACCGTCCCCAGAACAAAGAGTCATCGTGCCTGAACGTCAGGAGTCCCGCGGCTTAGGCACTCCGAGGTGATGTTTTCACATGGGAGCCACCGGGAGAGCATTGAAAGCGCGTTTTGCCTGAATCCCACCGCAGAGGTCCTGCCTTAATAGGCCCCGAGCACCAGCCAGGCCCCCGAGGCGCCCCAGGTGCGTGCGGCCTCGTCTGAGGCCCACTGGGCCCTGACATTGTCCGGCAGGTGCATCGAACAGGAGCCGAGAAGTGTGAAAACCACACCCCGGACATTGAGACGCGTCAGGGGGGGCTCCCGCGTCCTTTGTCAGAGTGACCTTTTACAGCTGGCGTCTGTAAGCCCCAGGAGGGGCAGCGGCGGGGAGGGCAGCCTGACCCAGAGCCCCGCCACCGACACCCGTGCGGGATTAGGAACTCGGTGAGTGGGAGTCCGGCCCAGCAGGGACTCGGGGGCCCCGGGGAGCAGGGGCCGCCCCTCC